TTATCGAAGGTGAATATTTATAGACTAATCATTCTAAGCAAAGCTTTTGCTACGGTCTCCCACAGCATTCTTGCCAGCAAGTTAAAGAAGTATGGGCTGGATGAATGGACTATAAGGTGGATAGAAAGCTGACTAGATTGTCGGGCTCAACAGGTAGTGATCGATGGCTCCATATCTAGTTGGCAGCCAGTGTCAAGCAGAGTGCCCCAAGGGTCAGTCCTGGGGCCGGTTTTGTTCAATATCTTCATTAATGATCTGGAGGATGGTGTGGATTGCACCCTCAGCAATTGCACCTGCAGATGACACTAAACTGGGAGGAGGGGTAGATATGCTGGAGGGTAGGGATAGGATACAGAGGGACCTAGACAAATTAGAGGATTGGGCCAAAAGAAATCTGATGAGGTTCAACAAGGACAAGTGCACTTAGGACAGAAGAATCCCATGCACTGCTACAAACTAGGGACCGAATGGCTAGGCAGCAGTTCTGCAGAAAAGGACCTAGGGGTTACAGTGGACGAGAAGCTGGATATGAGTCAACAATCTGCCCTTGTTGTGAAGAAGTCCAACGGCATTTTGGGCTGTATAAGTAGGGGCATTGCCAGCAGATTGAGGGACGTGATCATTCCCATCTATTCGGCATTGGTGAGACCTCACTTGGAGTACCGTGTTCAGTTTTGGGCCCCCCGCTACAAGAAGGATGTGGAAAAATTGGAAAGAGTCCAGCGGAGGGCTACAAAAATGATTAGGGGGCTGGAGCACATGACTTATGAGTAGAGGCTGAGGGAACTGGGATTGCTTAGTCTGCAGAAGAGCAGAATGGGGGAGGATTTTTTGATAGCTGCTTTCAATTACCTGAAAGGGGGTTCCAAAGAGGATGGATCTAGACTGTTCTCAGTGGTAACCAGATGCCAGAACAAGGAGTAATGGTCTGAAGTTGCAGTGGGGGAAGTTTAGGTTGGATATTAGGAAAAACTTTTTCAGTAGGAGGGTGGTGAAGCACTGGAATGGGTTACCTAGGGAGGTGGTGGAATCTTCTTCCTTAGAGGCTTTTAGGGTCAGGCTTGACAAAGCCCTGGCTGCGATGATTTAGCTGGGGAGTGGCCCTGCTTTGAGCAGGGGCTTGGACTAGATGACCTCCTGAGGTCCCTTCCAACCCTGTTATTCTATGATTCTACACCAGTAACCTGTTTGTTCAAATGAAACGTTTTATTTGGGGATTTCAGATATATTGTTTTCTTGAACTCAGGGGGGCCCTTGTGCTTTGAGTTCTGTTTTAGTTCTGCAGCAAACCACAGGGATGAACAGAATTCAAAGCATTCATCTACTGAATACTTTTTCTCCCTGTCTTTCCATCCACCAAAACAAACCGCGATATTTAACCAGAAAACTTAATAGTTTTCTGCACTGATTTTCACCTGTTTTTATTGTGGTAATAAACACTGATAAAATCCCAGGAAAAATTAACTAAAATAAAAACTGAAAATGAAGGGCCCTAACGATATGAAAGCAATAAAAGGCACAACTCCACTTTCTAGGAAGTGAGAGATTAGGAAAGCAAAGTTCTTTGCAGGGCCTATTAAGAAATGAGAATGAATCCAGCTTCCAGAACTGCTGAGCAGAATTGCATACATGGAGAAAGGCAAAGGCTCTGGACATAGCAGTTGCATGTGGCAGTCAAGGATTCATGCGTCTGATCAGTCTGTTTGAGCAAATGCCATAGAATTTAGAAGGAGAAAACCCACAGTCATGGTGTGTGCTTAGGGGTCCCATTCCATCGAAATCTGTGAATGGACTTTTGAAATTGCTAACTGCAGAGAACTGCATCTCGAGCTCAACTAGGGATGGCAAAGCAAGTCCCCTGCAGAGCAGAAGCGATCCGCATCTTGTGGCACTTGGGACTGAACTCTTTCTCTTTTCTAGGACATCAAAAGCACCTGGAGCAGGTACGTGACTCCTTCCCACTCCCCCTCACGCGTCGTGGTGCTAGAAGGGGACTTTCCCCCCAGGGTCAGATTTTGCAGGGCATTTAGTCACCTGAGACGTAGCTAGGCACTTGGTGAGGTTTTCCAAAGCAGCTAAGCGAGTTAGGCACCTCCCATTGTGATCAGTGGCAGTTGGGAGCCTGACTTGGTTAGGTGCTTTTGAAAATCCCAGGAGGCACCTTTAAAAATCAAGCCTTAAGTGACTTGCCCAAGGCCATGCAGGGAGGCTGTGGCAGAGCAGGGAGTGGAACATAGGTTTCCAGAGTCCTACAGCAACCCCTTAACCACTGGAGCATCCTTTCCCTTGAGATGAGGCCCTTCTCTCTGAGGGGCAGCCTGTGAACCCCTTACTCTGATTAACTCCCATTGGAGGAGCTAGGCATTTAAAAACTCCAGTGAGGAGATGAATTGTCTCACCAGTGGGAGATAGAGGCTCTCATTGAGCCCACAAGAGAGCAGCCTCTGGTAGCTCATTCTCAAGAAAGAAAAGATTTAGGGTGTTTCCCCCTCCCCCCCCCAGGTGTGAGAAGGTGAAGTTCGAGAAACCAATGGCTGTGTCACAGGATGTGAGCGAGAGAATTGGCGTCTCTTCCCAAAGAAATGTTTGTCTACAGGAGGCTCTGAAGAAATTCAGAGGTAACTTAACAGTTATTTGGCCTCATGATATGGCAATGGCACATCGAGATGTGCCTCTGACTGTGGAAGGAGTTGGACTCTGGCCAATTAGTTCTCAGCTCGTCACAGCTAGACGTCTGTGGGTGGGATGGGGAGGGCTCAGGGCTGATGCCAGTTTGCCAGGCCTCCACTTGGATTGTCTCAGACCCAACCATGGGTGTCAAAATTGGCCACTCAGCATTTCAGAGACACACAATCGCCAGATGTTTTAGAAAATGTTGAATTTCACCTTCATGGCTGGGATTTTCCAAGGGACCTAAGGGATTTAGGCCCCATCTCTCTCTGACTGTCAATGGGAGTTGGCCACCACATGGCCTCAGCCCTTTTGAAAATCCCAGACTCTGTACCTCAAGTTCCTCCATCTTGAAAAAGGAGGAAATAATGGCCAACCTACCTTGTTGTGCTAATTAGTGAATGCCACCGAGTGCTTTGAGATCGTTGGAGTAAGGCAGGAGATGGACGATATATTTTGGACGATGATTTCACTTTAGTTTGGTCTCACTGGAAAGGTCTCCCCATTCCGATCTGCCTCTCGTTCTATGGTCTTTTCCTTTGGGCTGTCTCTCAGAATTAAACGGTAATTCATTCCACGGCATGGAATCAGCACGGTTCCATGCCGTGCTGCGACAGCCATGTCAGCCCCAGGATATTAAGCAGGGTGGGGGAGGTCATAGCTTTTATTGGACCAACTCCTGTTGGTGACAGAGACAAGTTTTTGAGCTACATGGACCTGAAGAAGAGCTCTGAGTAAGCTCCAAAGCTGGTCTCTCTCAATCACGGTTACATTAATTAACGGTAGAAATGTCACCAGAGTCAAGACAACATGAAATCACCTCTCTTCCAATCCTTCCTTTCTCTTGAGACCTGGCCCTATGAACTGAGCTCAAATGCAGAGAGAAAGGGTATGGGCTAGATTCACAAAAGGACTTGGGGTGAGGGGGTCTACTTGCCATTTTAGGCACCTCAGTCCCAGAATCAGACCACACTGGGATTCAAAGACCCCCACTCAGCTGCAACCAAACCTCGTCTGTGCCTAAAATTACTCATCACCTCTATTTTTGCGGTAAAAGTCCCCTAGGCACCTATGTTTCTGCCTCTGTGCATGCGCACTGCAGTTCCAGTCCAGCTACCAAGACACCTAAGCCCCAGAGAGATACACAAACTGGGGAAAGAAAGGGGTTCCTCCTCCTAACTCACCTACAGGGCCACAATCTGAAATGCCTGCTCTGAGCACGCTTACTGGCTCAGGCCTTATATGTGAACTTACCCAAAAGAACCAGGCTCTAGGGAAAGAGGAGCTCCCTTATAATGTATAGCTCTGTGATTAGGGTACTGACCTGGGATGTGGGAGATCCCCAGTTCCAATCCTCTGTCCCCCTGAGGGGAAGAAGGGATTCCAACAGGGGTCTGATATAGGCCTCTCTGTTGCCCCTTTTGAATCTGATCCACTGTGTATAAATAATTGAGCAGCAGGACAGGCTTCTGGGCATCCCTCCCAAGAGCGTGCTCTAACCACCTGGGACATTCTCATGATTTCTCTCTGCCTCTGGCCCAATGAATTATTGATTATCCCCAGTGGAACCTCTCCCACAGGAGAGCATGTGGGCACCCAGTATCAGACAATCCTGCAGCCCAGAGATTAGGGCACTCCTTGAGAGGTGGTAGATCCCATTTCAAATCCCTGCTCCCTCTGCGGCACAGGCTTGACTTGAACCAGGGGTCTCCCAAAGGCTAGCTGAGTGCTCTAACCACAGGGCTAAAAGTTACGAGCGAGGTGGGTTTCCTTCCCCCGCCAGGCTTCTTGCCAAAAAAAAATGGCACAGGTGCCGGTCATCAAGAGAGGGCTCGCAGCTGAGAATCCCACGCCGAGGGAGGCGCCTACGGTGCTGCCCAGATTCGGTCGCCGAACTCCCTGAGGGGGCCGGGGCTTAGCACACCCCCGCACCTTGGCATTTCCCACTGGCTGGCGTAAGCAGGGAGTTGCCTAGCATGCTGGCTTTTATGAAGCTCATTCCAAGGCGCATCTCTCTCCCCATTCATGGTGCAGGTTGCCTGGGAGCCTGACTCTGGCTTTGTGAATCACAGTGACTTTCTAGGTGCCTAAGCGTTGGGTGTTGTGATGCTAAGTGTCAGCTTGCCTAAGTTTCTTTGTGAATCCAGCCCCGTTTTCATGAGGCTATTTTCCTACAAGAAAGGGGCAAATCACCTCTCCTCTGATCTTTTCTTCCTCTAGAGACCCTGCCCTATCAACTGAACTTTCTGATCTCCAAGGCAGAGAAAGAGGGTAAGTTTTCATAAGGATATTTTCCTACAACAATTATTAATTAAAATCTCCAGATTAATTTTTTAGAAGACACTTCTGAATTCAAACAAGAGAGGTTTCCACCAATACAGAGCTATGGATTCCAAGGTTAGAAGGAACCATTATATCATAATGGCCAGACTGGGTCAGACCAAAGGTCCATCTAGCCCAGTATCCTGTCTTCCGACAGTGGCCAATGCCAGGTGCCCCAGAGGGAATGAACAGAACAGGGAATCATCCAGCCCATCGCCCATTCCCATTTTGTGATGTATGAACGTGCACATACTATTTACAATTGGAAAGTAGGGTACATTTTTTAGGTCCAATAATCAGCCTTTAGGGCACACTCAGGTCACATTTTTCTGCTTCTCTCGGCAATTATAAGGACTAGAAGTTTGCTCAATTTTTATTTTTTATATGAAAGACAAGCTTCACTACTGGAAAACATCATTAACACAGAGTGCAGGTTGACCATCAGTGCCTTATACTCTCCCAGAACATGAAAGGAACCCATATTTCAACCTCTGAAAACTGGGAAATAAAGAGTTAAGGAAGTGTCTCCCACCGGTTCCTGTGCTATACTTCCCTCTCACCCTAGCGTCAGGAGCATGGACTCGTGCTGGGCTCTATCCATCTCCAGCTGGTGGAAGGTCCCTTGCGGGGAGACCACGCTAAGGCCAGTACTGAACCAGGCAGCGGCAGTCAAAAAAGCAAACAGAATGTTGGGAATCATTAGGAAAGGGATGGATAATGAGACAGAAAATATCATATTGCCTGTATATAAATCCCTGGTACGCCCACATCTTGAATACTGCGTGCAGATGTGGTTGCCCCATCTCAAAAAAGATATATTGGAAAAGGTTCAGAAAAGGGCAACAAAAACTATTAGGGGTATGGAACAGCTGCCATATGAGGAGAGATTAATGAGATTGGGACTTTTCAGCTTGGAAAAGGGACGACTAAGCAGGGATATGATAGAGGTCTATAAAATCATGACGAGTGTGGAGAAAGTAAATAAAGAAGTGTTGTTTACTTCTTCTCATAACATAAAAACTAGGGGTCACCAAATGAAATTTCAGAGTAGCAGCCATGTTAGTCTGTATCCGCAAAAAGAAAAGGAGTACTTGTGGCACCTTAGAGACTAACAAATTTATTTGAGCATAAGCTACAGCTCACTTTGAGCTGTAGATCACGAAAGCTCATGCTCAAATAAATTTTAGTCTCTAAGGTGCCACAAGTCCTCCTTTTCTTTTTTCATATTTTTCAAATTAATAGGCGATAGGTTTAAACCTATAACGCGCTGCCCCTGGACCAGAGCATGAGGAAAGGGAGAGGTAGCACTACTGTGAGAGGGGAACCCCCATCATCGCGCTCTGTTACCCCTGGGCCAGGAGATGGGGAAAGGTAGAGGATGGGGAAAGGTGACAGGTAGCAAGTTGCGATGGGAATGCTCCCTCTGGACTGCAGGATGGGGAAAGGCAAAGGCAGCAAATTGTTTCATGGCAGTAAAAGGGAGAATAGAGATGTCAGTAGCAACTACAGGTCGCAAATTGTGCAGGCAGCAGTTCGTAGCGTTGAACTAACAACTTAAAATGCCTTGTTCCAAAATTTTAAGTAACATTTAACTTTTAAACGCCTGAACAGCAAATGTAACTTTTCTTGTCTGCAGAGTGAACACTGGCATTTTTGTCTGTTTGAATAATCAAAGTGGTGCTTTCCGTGCCTTCTTGGCTGCAAAGATTTGAACTGCTTCCTGCTGGAGGTCCACCGTCTGGGCCAGCTCATGCTCTGTTGAGATGGTTGCAAGGCCGACCAGCCTATCCTGTGTCATTGTGGAGCACAGATGTGTTTTTATTAACTGCAGCTTGGGGAAGCTGCGTTCTCCACTGGCAACTGCTACAGGAAGTGTTAGAAGTATGCGCAGAGCAACAAAAGCATTTGGGAAGAGGTGGGTCATCTTCTTTGTGCACATATATTCCAGGACAGCCTTTGGAGCTGATCCTGCTGAAATGTATCTTGAAAGGGCTTTCAGTTCATCACCTAAATCACTCGCATCAATATCATCATGTGTCAACACTGTCTCTAGTGCCCTGTATTGCTGGTGTAGGTCTTCTTCAGGGACAGTGAGGAGTTTTGGAATATCATACAACATCCCAAACATACTGCTGTGTTCCTTGAGCTGCATGAAATGTTCTTCAACTGACTGTATTGCACAATCTAGCACCTGGTTAAAGAATTCAACTTTGAATTATTGTTTGGGGTCTCTGATGGGATTATCCCGTGCCTCGTCATCAAAATGTCTTCTTCTGTGGTGACTCTTATATCCTTGAATGGGTGGGAAAATAGCTTCAGTGTCAAGTTCCTCTAACAACTTCTCTGCACTTTTCAAACATTTTGAAATCCCTCATCTGAGCAATAAAACTGTAGGTATGACTTTGCTTTGTCCAGTTCTTCCATTGCTCCAGATATGTCAAGGTCAACACCTTGGAGTCTCTTGCTTACAACATTTATTTCAAACATTATGTCATGCCACAACACTAAGCTACACAGAAATTTGAAGTTATGTATGTTTCTGGTGATTCCATTTCCCTCTGCCACTGTTCTCCCACAAACAGTTCCTGTCACAGCATTATCCTCCATAATAGCAACTATGGCATCATCTATCTTCCCAATTTGGTGTTTGATAGGCTTTATCGCCTCCACTCAACTTTCCTATTGTGTGGCTGTCACGGAGTCCCTGGGTGATGCTCTGGAACTGCTCCCTACGAAGCCAGTCAGGACTCTGGGGAAGTCTCCTTTCTGGGAGCAGACTGTCTGCAGGACACACAGCTCACACAGCTTCCACCTTCCTGGATCTGACCTCAGAGCATTCAGCATCCTCTGCCACTCCCTGCGCTTCCCACAGTGAGTCTGCCCAGGCAGGCTCCTGGGGAAGCCAGAGGGTCCTGCACTCCAACTCCGCAGTCAGATGTGACTCTCAGCCAGCCAGTAAAACAGAGGTTTATTAGACGACAGGAACATGGTCTAACACAGAGCTTGTAGGTGCAGAGACCAGGACCCCTCAGCCGGGTCCATTTTGGGGGGCAGTGAGCCAGACAACCACGTCTGTACTTCACTCCATGTCCCCAGCCAGCCTCAAAACTGAAACTCCCTCCAGCCCCTCCTCTTCTGGGCTTTGTCCATTTCCCGGGCCAGGAGGTCACCTGATTCCTTTGTTCTCCAACCCTTTAGTTCTCACCTTGCAGGGGGGAAGGGCCCAGGCCATCAGTTGCCAGGAAACAGGGTGTTGGCCATTCTCTGTGTCCAGACCCTGCACATACCTGCCCTCTAGGGCTCTGCAACGATCATATGCCCTTATCCCACCACCTAGATACTTAAGAACTGCCTAGGAGAAACTGAGGCACCCCCACAATATTCAGAGGAAACAGTACGAACAGTCCCGCTTCGTCACAGTGGCACACAGTGGTTTCAGTATCAGAGAGGATGTTCCCAGATGTTGCTTCAAAATTTGCCATCGATGAGTTGATGCCGAGAAAAATACATAGACGCTTTGAATTACATTAAAAAATTCAGCAGCCTCACTAGAAGCTGATGCTGCATCACTGACCACCAAGTTCAATGAATAAGAACTGCATGGGACAAAAAAAGCTCGAGGGTTTTACTCTCGGATCCGTGTCTGTACTCCTCTGTTCTTTCCTCTCATGTTGGCACCATTATCGTAGCCCTGACCTCTCATGTCAGCTATCGCAATTCCCGTATCTTCCAGCTTTTTAAGAAGCACATCTGTCATACCAGCTCCTGTGGTATCATCAATGTCAATAAATTCTAGAAAATGCTCTCTGACAGTCACCATTGCAGGGACATTTTCACTAGGTTCTGTTCTTGTTACAAAACGCACCATTAAAGTCATTTGTTCTGTATGGCTGATGTCAGGTGTGCAGTCCAGAATAACAGGGTAATATCTTGCTGACTTCAGATCTGCCACCATCTTCTGTTTGACTTTTGTTGCCAGTAACTGTATGATCTCATGTTGAATTGTTTTTCCAAGGTAGTGGTGTGTACACGTTTCTTGGGTGGTGACACTTCTTAACTGCTCCTGGAGTACGGCATCAAACTCAGCCATCAGCTCCACAATTTTAAGGTCAGTTAAGGTTAATTTCCATTGTTTGGCACATACAGCTGATCTGAAGTGCCACGCAGTGCTCGGTTTTGGGTAGCAAGCATTCTCACAATGGCAATGAACCTTTTCACAACATTTTGCCAGTAAAGAGACTCTGATGCAATCTTCTCTTGATGCTGATCATCTATGGTGGCCTTTAACCTTAGTCTCATCTCATGCTCTTTCCACCTATGGAATGCTCTCTGGTGATTTGCTGCCTTCTCATGGCATGCCAGATTTCTAGCCAGATTTTTCCAGTCCTTTGTTTCTGTAGAACCCAATGTGGCTGGAACATTAGACGGGAAGAGTTTGCAACAAAACCAGTATGCAGCATTCTGGGTTTTTGAGTACATAAGCTATGGCCTCTCCACTTTGTCACCATTGGGGATTTCACGCCAGTAAAGTGTTGGATGGAAACTTCTCTTTTCGTTGTCTTTGGGGAACATGAAGTTTTTGACTTGTTGAGGCCAATGCAGTACAAGGAAGTCCCTTGGGTTACTGCTCAAGTGGGTCCACAGTCCTGGATCATCTAGACTTAAGGAACTAAACTCAGGAGCAGCTGTTTCTTGCGCCTCCACCACACTCTTCTCTGATCTACACTTTTCTTCAGGAATGTGCATGGTTACATCCATTTGAGATGGAGATAGGGATGCTGCAGTAGCTGCCAGGTCACCTGCACTCCGACTAACTGGAAGATCAGACATCTCCTCACCACTCACATCCTCACTGGGGCCGGAAGGCTCACCGTGAACATTTGTGTCTGTGTATCTCAGGAGAGCTCCTTCCTGCTTAGATAGAAAAGCTTCCTTCACTTTCTTTCTTTTTCTGAGTGCTGCCCCAGAGGGGGGTGTTTTCTTCTTTCACTCATGACTGCTGTTCTGTGCCAGCTATAGTGGCCTTCAACACTCAGTGGAAGGGGACAAATAAGGAGGCTGCTAACAGGCCTGAGTGAGGGAAGATATCAGCATCTTAAGGGCCTAACTGGCTCCTACTGTTTCAGTTGACTGCCTGTTCTCCCCAGGTGGGTTCAGGGAAGCAGCAGGAAACAGGAAGCTGCCTGAGAAGCTGGTGTTAATCAGTCCAGGCTCCTGGGGGTGCTAGAGAGGGACATAAGAGGCTCCTCCTCCTCTTTCTCCCTGCAGCTCCTGCTGCTTTCTGCTGTTCCCTCTCACCTTTTCTCCTGCCTGCCTGTTAGGTCTCTTGTGCCCTCCTTCCTCCAGCACAGCACTCCCCCATCTCTGGGCATCTCGAGCAGAGAATACAGATGCCCCAGCAGCAGACACAGTTTTCTACGCTCTGGGTCCTAGTGGTGCCTCCCCACAGTCTGGCACCTGAGGCGGCCGCCTCAGTTCCCCTCATGGTCAGGCCAGCCCTGGACCCTGCCCACCTCCCATCCAGGGCTTAATTTGTCCCCCAGCTTGCTGGGTCTGAGGAAGGCTGCTGTGCAAAGTGATATTTGGATGTTTGTGAATCACTTTTCGCTGCCTCCCAGCTCGCTAGCAAGTCTCCTGCTGTGAGACGTGATATTTACAAACGTACAAACATCACTTTTCACAGCAGCAGACTTACTCGCGAGCAAAAAAAAAGCAACCAAAAAAGCAAAAGAAACAACAATTAAACAAAGTCAAGAACATGCAAAGTACCTTACTTGTGTTTCTATTCGGTGTAGGTCCAGTAAAGAATAGAGGCAACTGTACATTATTTTTATTATTGAGTATGAAAAACAACCCTACATCAATAAATTGCAATGATTTGGGCATGCATAAGGGCAGATTCATTTATTCCTAAAGTTAATTAAGTATTTTAGACCAAATTGTCAGAGTGGCCACCAGTGGTAGTTGGTGGCCATGCTGTGAGGCCACCAAAACATTTGTGGTGAGAACCCCTGCACTAGAGAGCTAACTGGGGGCGCGGCTGCATCTGTAGCCATGACCTAAGAGTGCTATCGAATATCTTGATTTCTTTTTGGCCTAGCACTTAACTCGGTGGCACTGGTCTGTTTCGATGGCTGCATCGGATCAATTCCAACATTTCAGGGGAATTTCTAGGTGGCCATTCGGAGAAGGCAGAAGATTTTGCAAAAAGAAAAGGATTATTAGTGGTACCTTAGAGACTAACCAATTTATTTGAGCATAAGCTTTCGTGAGCTACAGCTCACTTCATCGGATGCATTCAGTGGAAAATACAGTGAGGAGATTTATATACACACAGAACATGAAAAAATTGGTGTTATCTTACACACTGTAAGGAGAGTGATCACTTAAGATGAGCTAATACCAGCAGGAGAGCGGGGGTCGGGGCGGGGGGGGGAAACCTTTTGAAGTGATAATCAAGGTGGGCCATTTTCAGCAGTTAACAGGAACGTCCGAGGAGCAGTGAGGGGTGGAGGGGAGGAAATAAACATGGGGAAATAGTTTTATTTTGTGTAATGACCCATCCACTCCCAGTCTCTATTCAAGCCTAAGTTAATTGTATCCAGTTTGCAAATTCATTCCAATTCAGCAGTCTCTCGTTGGAGTCTGTTTTTGAAGTCTTTTTGTTTTAATATTGCGACCTTTAGGTCTCGGATCAAGTGACCAGAGAGATTGAAGTGTTCTCCGACTGGTTTATGAATGTTATAATTCTTGACATCTGATTTGTGTCCATTTATTCTTTTACGTAGAGACTGTCCAGTTTGACCAATGTACATGACAGAGGGGCATTGCTGGCACATGATGGCATATATCACATTGGTAGATGTGCAGGTGAACGAGCCTCTGATAGTGTGGCTGATGTGATTAGGCCCTGTGATGGTGTCCCCTGAATAGATATGTGGACACAGTTGGCAACAGGCTTTGTTGCAAGGATAGGTTCCTGGGTTACTGGTTCTGTTGTGTGGTGTGTGGTTGCTGGTGAGTATTTGCTTCAGGTTGGGGGGGCTGTCTGTAGGCAAGGACTGGCCTGTCTCCCAAGATTTGTGAGAGTGATGGGTCATCTTTCAGGATAGGTTATAGATCCTTGATGATGCGTTGGAGAGGTTTTGGTGACAATCGGAAAATGATGAGGGGGAAACAGGTGACAAGCCTGAGTGGGCAGAGCACCAGTCCCTGACCCAGAGCAACAGGAGCTTCGCTGCCGACATCCAGGTGCCCGATGGGGAGCTGCAGTCAGTGCCCACACGGGGAGCCAGCCAGGACATGGGCAGAGGGGATCCCTGAGAGGGGGCAGACACGAGAGGGGTTTAAATAGAGCCCAGGGGTGGGTTCATCCAGACCTACAGGTAACCAGAGGAACCCAGGGGCAAAGCTCTGACAGCTCCATGACCCGAGCGAGGGGAGCAGAGCTGGGAGCCCAGGGCTGGTCGCCAGTGAGCCTGGTGTGGAGAGACGAGACCAGCTCTGACCACCTGCTCCCTGTGCCAGTCTGTTACCAGAGCGGATCACACACAGAGTGTCCCCGGCTCCGGTCACCCCTGGATCCTCTGGAACAACCTGGAGTCTCCCTAGAAACCCCCCTTCTCCCCCCGCCCCGGGATCTGCTCGTCTCCTTTCTGTCCCCCCCGTGATCCTGTGGCTTCGAGGGAGGACGCCTGCATAGGGCTGGGAGAAGCTGCCCGCGCCCAGTGGAGGTGGGTCCCCAGGGGGCAGGATCTGGGGCGGGGGCCTGCAGATCGGTGGGTTGATCGCTAGGACCCAGGAGCGGCTGGGGGGCGGCTCTGGGGGGAGGATCGCGGGGCTCAGGCCCGGCCGCAGGAAGTGACTCGCAGCCGCTGCGGGGACTCTGGCTCCCGGCGAGATCCCCGCGCCCCGGCGGCTGGTGCTGGGAGCCCGGAGCCCGGGCTGCAGCCGGGAGAGGGGAACCTCCAGCCGGGCCCTGCCCGCTGCTCCCCGGGAGCCTCTCCCAGGGCAGAGCCCCCAGCCCGGCCAGGGCCCCTTCCCGGCCCGGCCCCTGCCCCGGGGGGCCCCGCTCGGAGGGAAGGTAAGAGAGACCCGCCCCCCCCCGTCACCCCCGGGCTGCAGGGGGCGGGTTTGGCCCCGGGCTGCTCCCCGCGGAGCCGGCTGCGATTCCCTGCCCCGGGCCGGGAAAGCTGCCGCAGCCCCCGGTGTGCGCGGGGCGGGGGGAGCCCGGCCGGGCCCTGCTGGGGGTGGGGCTGGGACACCTGAGGGGTGGGGCAGAGGAGGGGGAGCCGCGAGGGGGCAGAAGATGGCAGGGAGGTGAGATCAGGGGGTATTGAGGGGGGAACAGGGATGTGTGAGGCCGGGGGCTGGAGGGGGATGGGATGGGATGGGGGCAGGGGGTGGCTCTAAGAGGGGGCAGGAGGGGGATGGGATGGGGGCAGGGGGTGGCTCTAAGAGGGGGCAGGAGGGGGATGGGATGGGGGCGGGGGGTGGCTCTAAGAGGGGGCAGGAGGGGGATGGGATGGGGGCAGGGGGTGGCTCTAAGAGGGGGCAGGAGGGGGATGAGGGGGGGGGGGAGGTGGCTCTAAGAGGGGGCAGGAGGGGGATGGGATGGGGGCGGGGGTGGCTCTAAGAGGGGGCAGGAGGGGGATGCAGGGGGCGGGGGGAGGTGGCTCTAAGAGGGGGCAGGAGGGGGATGGGATGGGGGCGGGGGGGTGGCTCTAAGAGGGGGCAGGAGGGGGATGGGATGGGGGCGGGGGGTGGCTCTAAGAGGGGGCAGGAGGGGGATGGGATGGGGGCGGGGGGGTGGCTCTAAGAGGGGGCAGGAGGGGGATGCAGGGGGCGGGGGGAGGTGGCTCTAAGAGGGGGCAGGAGGGGGATGCAGGGGGCAGGATGAGACGGGGGCTGGGCTGTTGTTCCACTGCAGGGAGGTTGGGACGATTCAGGGTGATCAGGGGGCGGGGGGGAATTATGGGGCTGAGGGGAAAGAGGCTGGAATGGAGGGAAGACATAGGGGGCTCTGGGAGGGACAGGGGGGATGTAGGGAGGGGAGGCTGGGGGGAGACCGAGAGCAAGAGGAAACTGGCTGGGGAAGGGAGAGCCGGGGGGCAGGGAGAGGGCTGGTGGCAGAGGGGTGGGGAGAGATACAAGGCAGCTCCTCTGTCCCGTGGGGTAAGGGAGGGTGAGGGGGCTGCCCTGCCCAGCGGGGATTTGTTCCCCTACAAATGGTCAAACCAGCAGTGGGGGATGGGCAGGGTGACCGTCCCTCCCGAACTGGGCAGGACAGTCCTGAAGTGCAGAGTTCAAGTCCCGGTCCTGGGCTGAAGGACTCCCGGACACCATTTGTCCCGGATTCCCTGCTCCGGGGCAGTGCCAGCCTGTTCCCCGTGGGTGGGATTGAGGTGGGCCTTAGCCCCCCTTCACCACGAGTCCCCCTCGAAGCCCTGCCCGCTGGCCAGCCAGAAGCTAGATTCAGGCCATGATAAGAGTCTCTCAGGCTGTAGTGGGGAGTCCCAGATCCTCCACCTGCTGGGCGGTGGGGGGCAGATGGGCCGGGGCTGCTATTGGCACTGGGGTTGCCAACTTTCTAATTCCAGTAAACTGAACACCCTTGTCCTGCACCTTTCGTTGAGGCCCCGCCCCGGCTCACTCTATCCTCCCTTCCGCCTTCATTTGCTCCCCCCCCCTTCCCCATTTTCACTGCAAGGCCCAAACAGGCACCAGGAGAAGGCCAGGAGTGCAACAGTTTGAATGTGGGAGATGCACACACTTGCCTACACAGAGACTCTCTTTCCATACACTTTCTTGGGGTCCTACGGGGGAGGTGGGGCAGGAGTCCCCAAAGACCACAGGGCCCTGAGATAGGCAGTCCTGTGTCAGGGCCGGCCTCAGGGAAAATGGCAACCTGGGTCAACTTGCATTTTGCTGCCCCTGGCCCCTGTAGGCATGGAGCACCCTCACCCCAATTGCCTCCCTTCACCCCTAACCCCTGCACTGAGCCCCCTTTGTCTCTAACCCTGCCCCCTCCTGCATGCTAACCCCTATGTTGTGCCCCCTTCACCCCAACTCCGACCCCCCTCCTGTGCCCCTAAGCTCTGCATCCCCTTCCTGCACCCCCAAAACTGACCTGGATGCAGGGATGGAGCAGCTGGCATTGCTGCTCACTCCCCCACTGGGAGCCTGCCACTGGGGAGCCTCCAAGATCCCTTTTCGACCCGGTGTTGCGGTCCAAAATCAGACACCCAGTCACTCTCATCGGCACTCCAGCCCCCTGCCAAGGGAAGGTGGAGGGTCCGGGGCTCCCTGCAGTGACCTGGGCTCCCTGGCAGGTGTTATCACGGCCTGACTTCTGGCCTGGCCGGGGGCAGGGCATCAGGGGAAAGAGGGGGGCAGGGGCGTGGCCTCAGGGAAAGGAGGGGCAGGGCTCCGGCATGTGTCCCACTTTTGCCTTTAGAAAAGGTGGGTCACCCAGAGATAGGGGGTGGGCTGGAGATTGACCCCGAAGGACTGAGAATTTTCCAGGCAAATGTCCACCCAGAATCCTCCCCCCTCCCCCCGCTCCCAATTTCATATTTGTGTTTTAAAACAATCTCCTTATCTGGGGGGTCTGACTCCTGGACTGACAGGACTGAACGGGGGCTGGTCTGATTTCTGCGCTGCATTCGGTGTCCAACCAGAGTCACTGCAAGCCGCAAGGAGTGGAATTGGGGTTTGGTTTGGGTTCAGTGGCAGTCGGTGTGTTCGATTCTGGTTCAGTTACCAGGCAGAGGGGAGGGGGTTGGGAGTGAGCCCTGTGGCTTGCTTCAGTGGGGAACTGAATTTGGGGCCTGGGGCCTGCCTCAGCTGGGGCAATTGGAGGGAGGAACTGCCCTAAGGGGTGGGGATGGTGAGAGGAGGCCTGTCTAAGGGGAAGAAGAATTGAGCGGCCTTTTCCCTTGCGCTTGAAGAGTTAATGTTAACTCCTGGGACAGGGAGCCCCCACTTCTCTCCCCCCTCCCTCCCTGCTCCTGTGCGCTGCCCCCTTCTCTTCTCCTACTGGGACAGGCCGTTCCGGTAGCGATCAAATGCCTGGGTGTTGTTTTGTTGTCTTGTTTTATAATGAGTGAGATCAGAGTAGGTTTTATTTTATTTTGTCAAATATTGAACTGAAAAATCCAGTGTCAGAGAGTGGAGATGGATGGCAGGAGAGAGATCACTTGATCATTACCTGTTAAATTCACTCACTCCGGGGCGCCTGGCATTGGGGATGGGGAGAGACCCGGGGGACAGGGCTGGGGCCAGGCAGGAAAGTGACTCTGCACTAAAGGCCCCTTTCAGGGGCCTGCTGGTGAGTTTGTACCGGTGTGGGGGAGGAGGCGGCTCCCCCATGCCTGCGGGTCCCAGAGCTGCTGCCCTCAGTGACACAGCCAGGCTCACACTGAGAGCGAGCGCCCCTGGGAACGGGACAGGCCCCAGTTCTCCCCAGTTCTCGCAGGCAGAGGGGAGAGGGAAGGAGACAGGAAGGGGAACGGTGAGACTGAAAGGGGAAGCAGGAGCCAGAAGTGGGGAGGGAGGTTCCCAGCTCCCAGACCCACCCGGATCCATTCCCTGCATCCCCCTGGGCAGCCTGACTCTCCTGGGAACAAGGGGAGGAGCTGACAGAGGAAAAACCAGGCTCTGCCTCTGCCCAGTCCCCGCGCTGCTGGGGGGACCCGCTGCCCTTCGGGCCAATGTCACGGGAAATCCCCCAAAGTGGCTCCTCTGATTCCGCTCTTTCCCAGCATTTCTCTTCGAGACTCTGTCCCGGGGGGGGGTTTAAAAGTGTCTCAGGGGGTTCAGTGCTGGTGGGAGGGGCCGGGTCTGTGTTGTAATAAAGTGACTGAGGGTTTTCCCAGCGTGGCAGAGCCCAGAGCATCTGTCTGCAGGGAGGGAGCCTGGGGGGAATCAGGGTGTGAAATGGACTCAAGCCCCTTCTGAAACCTCCCCCGTCGCCCCTCTCGCCCTGACAGGCTGAGGAATCACGTTCACGTTTCACTCCAGATCGTCCTGTTTTCCAGGGGACAGAGAAGGGAAATGGCTGTGATGGAGCCAGCTCAGGTAGGGGATTTTCAGGGAGCTGCAGGGGGCCTTTGCTGTACAGGGGGAGGGGCAGGAAACACACAGGGGGAGGTAGGAAGGGAACAGGGTGCGACAAACCTGCTGGGACACATTTATTTAGAGCCTGATTTTCTGAACAGACCCAGTAGCAGGTGGGGGGAGGGGGGAACATTCCCCCATTTCTGAACCAGGAAACACCCCCCTGGGCAGGGCTGGGAAAACTGACCAGACTCCCAGTGCTGGAGCCTGACCCCACTGGCCAGAGGCTGCTGTGAAATACGAAGGGAAGCTGTCGGGATTCCTGTCCCTATCTCCTGCTCAGAGCTCTGCTTCCTGTCTCAGCCTGTGGCTGGCAGGTGTGTGTTAAATGAGAAGACCCTGCTCAGCTCCGTGTGCTGGGGGGGGGACAAGGAGCTCTCACCTTCTCCCACCCCCTGAAGCCTCCTGGCTGCTCTGAGCAGGGTGGGGGTGGGATTCTGCTCCTCTGGGCCTCCTCCCCCTGACTAGTGGGATTATGGCTGGGGCAGCAGGCGCTGAATGGGGGAGACTTGTTGTTTCAGATGCCGGTGACCTTCGAGGAGGTGGCTGTGTATTTCACCGAGGGGCAGGGGGCTCTGCTGGACCCCGCTCAGAAAGCCCTCTACAGGGACGTCATGCAGGAGAACTATGTGATGGTGACCTCGCTGGGTAAGGAATTCCTGTGCCTCAGCTAATGGAAGCCATGGGATCTCCATGTCTGAATCTGGTCAGGTTCTTCCCTGGTCTGTTAGATTGGAGGAGGAGGGTCACATAGTCCACAGCTTCAGTGTGAGAGAAACTTGCATCTCCATACTCCATTCGAGGGAACAGAGGAGTCAGAAACGTAATGGACAGGCTAGTTCCTCCCCATCTCTCCAGCTGTCCAGGGGCCAGAAGCAGGGTATTGTCCAGCCTGTATTATTTCTCCTTCACACCCATTCACCTTGCTCCATTTGTGAGGAGGGCTCTAGATTCTGCAGGCTTGAAAATAGGCAGGAGTTCAACACCCGAGCTGTGTGTGTGTTAACAAGTCCCCCGGAGCGCATCTACCCTGAGACCTCCTCGTGAGGGGGTAAACAGACCCCCTGACCCCCAGATCTCTGCTGCTCCCAAGGGGTCTGAGTTACCACAGTCCAATGTAGGGTCAGGTTAAACTCAGGGAATGTTCCTTGTGACAAATACTCTACCAAGACGCCATGTGCCCTGAGCTTTTCTGATTTCACCCCCTGCGCAGGATTCCCCATTCCCACACCTGACCTCATCGCCCGGCTGGAACGAGGGGAAAAGCCGTGGGTCCCGGATCTCCAGGCCGCCGAGGAAAGGGAGAGCTTGAGAGGCACCTGCACAGGTGAGGAGTCACAGAAACTGAGACAGAACCCTCTGGCGAGTGAAGGAAAAAGCTGGGACTCCTGAAATGTGCTGTGAGCGAGAGGCCCCCGTTCTGCACCATCTCACCCAGGTCAGGGCTGCAGGCAGCAGGTGTTATATCAGTCACAGCTTCCTACCCATCCTGTTAGCTGTTGGGAATTTCCTCCCTGATTTTACTTCCCTGGGGGTGTTTGGGTGGGATGTGAAGGCAGAATCCAATGTTTCCATCTCCCCAACAGTCACTGTGTCCTGTTTTCCCTCTTTGCTATTCCCCTTTCTGTCCTTTTTCCCTGGCACATTCAGTGACTCCTGTCTGGATTCTCTCTCTCCCAGCAGGTGAGAGGACAGTGAGTGAGAACAAGGAGGAGACTCAGCAGCAGGAAGGTCCTGGGAAAGCGGAACCGCAGGAGAGGTTTTTGAGAAGAGCTGAAGGGAATTTTTCCCAGTGCTTGGAGCAGGGAAATGTCTGGGGAGATCGACACAGATCAGAGATGCAGCTGGGAAACTATCCTGGGAAGAAACTGGATGAATCCACTGAATGTGGCGGAGGATGCAAGGATCCCAAGGAAACCACAGCGCAGCAGACAAGTCACAATGAAGAGAAACCCTACAAATGCCTCGACTGTGGGAAAAGATTCCGTTTCAGTGCAAACCTTCTTACACATTGGAGAACCCACACAGGAGAGAAGCCCTATGAATGCTTGGACTGTGGGAAAAGCTTCCGTGAGAAGTCAAACTTTATCACACACCAGAGACTGCACACAGGAGAGAAACCCTATAAATGCCTTGAATGTGGCAAAAGTTTTAGTCAGAGCTCAAATCTTATTGCACATCAGAGAACCCACACAGGAGAAAGGCCCTATGAATGCCTTGAGTGTGGGAAAAGATTTAGTCAGAGGTCACAGCTTATGGCACATCACAGAACCCACACAGGAGAGAAGCCCTATAAATGCTTCGACTGTGGGAAAAGTTTCAGTAGGAAGCTATGTCTTATTGTGCACCAGAGACTGCATACAGGAGAGAAACCCCATAAATGCCTTGAGTGTGGGAAAAGTTTTAGTCAGAGATCACATCTTATGTCACATCACAGAACCCACACAGGAGAGAAGCCCTATAAATGCGTAGACTGTGGGAAAAGCTTCAGTTGGAAGCCATGCCTTATTATACACCAGAGACTGCACACGGGAGAGAAGCCCTATACATGCCTTGAGTGTGGGAAAAGTTTCAGCAAAAGTTCATCCCTTACTAAACATGGAAGAATTCACACAGGAGAAAGACCCTATAAATGCCTTGAGTGTGGGAAAAGTTTCAGTGTGAAATCAACCCTTAATACACATCAGAAAACCCACACAGGAGAGAAACCCCATACATGCTTGGAGTGTGGGAAAAGCTTCATTCAGAAGTCAAAACTTAGCGTACACCAGAGAGTACACACACGAGAGAGACCGTATTAATGCCTTGACTGTGGGAAAACTTTCATTAAGCGCTCACACCTTACTAAGCGTCAGAGAATTCACATAAGCGAGAAACCCTATAACTGCCTCGAGTGCGGGAAAAGTTTCATTGACAGAAGAAAACGTACTCATCAGAGAATCGACACAGGAGAGAGACCCCATGAATACTCGGACTGTGCAAACACATCAGGAATTCGTGCTGTTACTACTGCCTGCAGCGATAGGACTCGCAGTATTTTTCTTTCTCCGTGGGACAGTGAATTATGAAGCTGGAGAGCCAGAACCGTTACGTGTCACTGACCTCCTAAGAGCGCAGGGCAGACTGGAAGCCCAGGGGAAAATGACTGAGCAGCTGAGAGCCTGCATGGACCCCGCCCCGCAGGAATTCACAAGAGAACCCCGAAGCATACAGGACATCGCCCAGATGTTGATCCAGTGCAGAGGACCAATTTGGAATTTGAATCCAGAGACGGGAAACATGAGCTCTGCATATATTACCGCAACAGGGAACCCTGGTACTACATGAAAGAGCCAACCATGGACGTGTGTCTTGCCCGGCTGTGCTCCCACCCAGAACTGCTGAGTATCGAGAACCTGCTAAAGGTGGACAACCAACCGGAGGCTGGAGGGAAGATGACTGAGGTGCTGAGACAATGCTTCAAACTCACCCTGGAGAAATTCTCCAAGGAGCCAGTGTGCTTGCAGAACGACGCCCGGCTGGTGATCAGCACAGTGGGAATGAGGATGGTCTTTCCCCCTGGAAAAGGGGAGAATGAAATCAACGTGTATCCTGACAACATGGGGCTTGTTCAGTACGTGGTCAAAGTCCCGGGATGGTGGACCTGGATAGCCAGGACTATGGTGACCATAGCTCTTGTTACAATCCCAGTCTTCATTTGTCAAATGATGATCTATTAGAAGACTAGGCAACATCATTAAAAACCACTTAGCTTTAGAAAACTCCCACCAAACACAGGGTCCTCTATTCAGTATTGCCAACTCTTATAATTCAAAGTACAAAGTAATTTTCTAGCTGTTACGGTAGCTGAGAGAGCCATGGGAATGAGACCACTAGAGGCTCAATACTTAGAAAGGGAATAAACAGAATCCAGCACAAATACAAAACGGGGAATAACTAGCTAGGGGGAAGTATTTTGGAAAAGGATCCAGGGATTATAGTGGTTAGAACAGGGGAACTTTTGAAAACTGCCTCCGATCCATTCCCAAATCCCAGAGAACATTCTGAGTATGGAAGGGTGGGACCCTGTTGATTCTGGTGAAAATTGGAGAACTGGAAAAGCCTGGATTTCTACCAGAATGAGGCCCACGGCACGCCCCACTGGCGGTGCCGGATGAAGGTCTCTGGCACCTTCTGCTGCTATCAGCACAAGTCGCTCACTCGATTTTGTGACCTTTGGGTGGGCTAGATCAGTGAGTTTTCAACTTTTTTTTTATTTGCAGACCCCTAAAAAATCCAAATGGAAGTGCAGACCCCTGTGGAAACCTTAGACCAGTGGTCCCCAACCTTTCTGCAATATGCTATTCCCAGAAGACTCTGGAGGGCGCCGGACACCCCGCCGCTGCACTGCCAAGCACCGCCGCCAGAGAACCAGCTGCCGAAACGTCGCCTAGAAATGGCAACGGCATTTTGGCGGTGGGGTGTCCTGCAGGCACACACAAATGGCCCATTGGGCACCACGTTGGGGACCACTGCCTTAGACAAAGTCTGCGGGCCACAGGTTACTATCGGGCTGTAGTTTACGCTGCCCTTCTCCTAGTCCCTAAAAATGCCTCCCTTGGAAAAGCACCTGGGGACCTAGAATTCAGTCACTGAGGCGTTTCAGCAAGGATCACGTAGGGGTCGACCTCTACGCATTCAAATCCAGAGAAAGAACAAAAGGAACTTAATTCTTAAGTACCAACTTTATGAAGTCTTGTAATGATAAAGAAACATAATAACTTAATTTCTACAACATAACGAGGCCACTGTATAATCCACCTACATTATCGTCACCATTCTACATGAACTTAAATAAAGAAAACAAATTGACTCTAGACAGGTCAGTCCCCACGGAAACGCAGCAACAAGAAACTCAGGGTTCCCAAACCTGAGGTGGAGTTTACCTGAATCTCCATCTTTGCTCACCAAAATCTATATGCTTGGCTGCATCAAAAGCAAGGCAACAACATCTTCCCTCTTCTTGCTTGTCGAAACTTCCAGCTGGAATCCAGACAGATTCTTCCGCATCCTCTGCGGAAATCAGTTCGCTGGTCAGCTAATTAATTAACCCACTGTGCAGTTTAAGTAGATAGATTCAAAAAGCCTTGTTACTAGAAAAATACAAAGCTGAGACCAGCGAAATATTGACGACTCTTTCCCCATCACACTGAACTAAGAGATGAGTTGGTGACTCAAACTGGTTCAGATGATTTTGCTAACGGAGTTTGCTATTGCACAACATTCAAAGCATAAAATGAAAATAAGAGAAATGAATTTTCCCTCCCAATTACCCCTTTCTGTAACAAACACCGCCGGGGATTCCTTAGCAGAGAGTTAATACTTGCACTAACCTGCTGCAAAATGCTTCAGAGCCAGGGGGAAAGCCCAGCCTGCTTTCTCCCCCTGTGACTCGGTTTCTCCCAACCCAGCCAGGGCACATGGCCTTTTGCAAAGCAGCTGCCCTGACGATCCCCCTCCCCCACAGCAGACTCTGACTCTGGCTACAAGGACCCCAAATGACCACCCCCGATTCTAGCCACATCTGGGTGTCAAGAGGCTAATTGTGAATCTGCCTCACAACAGTAACCCTAACACAACTTCTCCCACTCCCCGCCCCATAGATCTCTCCCTCTTAGGCGCCCACCTATAACCAAGCTCCCGCAAGCTGATCACCTGGTCCACCCCACTCTGGGCAAGCCCACCACCTCCAATCCAGGTCCCTCGCTGCCTCCCCCCCCGCTGCCAAGTTCCCATCCCCCCACTCCACCTGCCCCCCAATTCAGGCCCCTCTCCACCCTACAGCCAAGCCCCTCAGCCAGTCTCCTCCCCCTAATTCTGGCCAACCCAGCCAGACCCCATACCCCATCCCCACTCCAGCCAAACTTCCCTCCCCACCCCAGCCAGGCCCATCTGCCCCCCACTTTGGCCAAGCCCCCAACCAGACCCAAATAAGGCCCCCAAATAGGAGAAACTCATGCTGTCTCCTTCTGGGCCCGGGTGAGAATTTTCAGCTCCTAATTTTGTATAAAACAGTAATGATAATGAGCTGCCCGGCCCTGCGCCTCACTTCCCTGGGGTCTCACAGACCCGGTTCCTCCTTGGCCAGGTCATCATCGTGCCGGGCTGCTCAGAGGCCTGGTTGCTGTGGTGCCGAGATCAGTTGATAACTGGGGTGTTTAACACACACCTGCCCGTGCAAATCCCTTCTCAGAAGCTGAGGGGACCCTGGGTGGGGACCTATTAAAAGGAGCGGAGCAGAGGAGACAGGAAGCCTGCGGTGAGGGCCCCTTGCTTCTTCTGAGCACCTCCTACCACCGTATCCTCCATCAGCATCTCTAGCCCAGCCTCTGAGCTTCATCCTCAGTGCCCGGCTGAGCTCTTGAATGATCCCAGCTCTGTGGTGGAGCAGCATCCCTGGGGCTTCCTCACTGGCAAGCCTTGGCTGACCCCAGCTCTCCCACTGAGCCACTGCTTCAGTTCAGCCCTATTTTGGGGGTGTGCAAGTCCAACCTAAGCTGATCCTCTTCCAGATCTTCAGCTCCTTCTCTGAGCTCATTTAAACTCCCCTTCTCATCCAGCAGCTGGTATGGGGGGGACCCGGGCCCGGCCAGTACTCTGGGTCCCAACCTGGAGACCCTACAAACAGCCACCACCCACTGTGTCCCTTTTAACTCTTGTTGCTGCTGCTCCTGTTCTCTAGGCACTTCCCTGTGGTCCCAGCACCTTCACCCTTAGCTCAGGACTGAAGTCCTGCTTGAATCCCTGCAGACATCCAAGGGCTCCCTTGCTCCTCTGGCTTTGGCCAGCAACTGAAACTGCCCTCACTAGCATGCTGCTCCTTTTATATGAGCCTGCTGGATTCTGATTGGCTGCTTCCTGCATCCTCTCTCTGATTAGCTGCTTCCGCGCAGCCACTCTAGGTGGCCTGGAGGACTCATTTCTACTGCTCTTTTCCTGACATGGACGTGCGGTAGGACCTCCAAACCTAATACACCCGGTCAGAAAGCCCTTGTAGTTTTTTCGCTATTAACAAAAAGCAAGAAAGGGCATGCCCCTGATTTATTTTCTTTCTTTGATTGCCAAATTTTAACCATGAATCTTCAAAATCTGGAATACCATAAGGGCAACCCACTCTCCATCCCATGCTCTTAAGAAGTGAAAGTCTTGAAAGCTCTTATCTGTAGCGAATTATAGCGGTTTTTATTAAGCAAGTTGTTATAAGTGCAGAATAATTTTAAAAAGTAATAATCTGATGGGGAAAAAACGCTGGTATCATATTTGTAGGACAACTTCATTGTTAAAATTCTACCATCATCAGTACATGCCATTGTTTCAAAGCTAGATAAACAGTGGTGAAGTTGCATAGGCAGCTATATAAGATAACATTTTCAAAATCAACCACATGCTTTTCATTTCCTCGTAGCCCTCTGCAAACACCAAGCACAGCTTTACGATATTTAGCAGATAATCTATTTCAAAGCCAAATTGATGTAAATGTATGTAAACATGCCATTACAAGGATTTAAATAATAGGTAAATGGGTGCATATACTCAAAGCTGCAAGCAATTATCTCTAAGATTTTATAAGTGCTAACATGGCTTAATTGTGTTTTCTTAACATGAGTCATTAATAAGCATCCAGCGGCCCAGATGTTTCATGTTATGTTCCACCCTAAAAGCTGTCTTTGACTAATTAAAGTGGGCTGTTAAAATAATCTTAAAACAGATCTTGAAGAATTTGCTCAGTAATCAATTTGTAAAACATCCAGCCGCAGCTCTGTCTGTCTATCCAACCAGCTCCATCTTTCTACATATCACTAACTCCATCCACGAGGTGGGATGTTTGGTTGGCCTAAACTTGTTATGGCAAGGTAAAAACTATCGTCCTTTGACTTCACTAGGATTTTACATTGAGATTGCTACCTGGGTGTAAAAACACACTTTTCTGTAGCGAAGGCTCGTAACATGGGTTAATTAACTTGGGTTAGTTTGACATAAGTGAATAACACACCTCTTTTTCCTAGTTGAAAAACGTTTAACTCACTTTAACAACTGAAAATGTGTCAATCTCAAAATTTATTTTTGGTTTTCAGGCAAAGGTGATCAAAAAACAAAACACAACCTCCTGCCTCGCCCTCCGCCCCCCCCCCCCCCCCAGTTTGACAACTGAAAACTAAGATGATTGAACATGAAAAAGGAAATGGTTGTAGCGTGCATTTCGAGTTTAGCTCTCTGTCCTCCCCTAGTGGTCAGACCACGTAAAGCTCCTTTACTAGCAGATCTGGGTTCTTTATTATTTGGGAGGTGGGATGGGTTGTTTGGGGTTTATTTTGCTTAAAACAGCTGAAAATTTTTGAACTGAAAATGGCCAAAAATGTCCAGCCAAAAAGTGCCAAAAATGTGTGATTCAAAACTACGCAAACTTTTAGTTTTCTGACAAAAAAAATGAAAATGTTCAAGCAAAGCAGACATTTTTCAAAATTTTCTTTTTGACAAAAATCCAATTTCCTATTGGAAAAAGGTTTCAGTGAAAATTTTGGACCAACCCGAATAATGGATCTAATTTTAGACCTGTCCTATTTTAGATATAGAGGTCACAGTTTCATTCTGCACTGCATCAGACTGTGGTAACCAAAAACAAATGGAAAATGAAAACTGAGAGAAAGTTTGTGTGTGTGTGTGTGTTTAAATTCATGTACAATTAATTTCTTGAAAATTTCTGAAAAAATAAAAATTTTGGGAAAAAATCTTTTGGATTCTGTGAAAAAAATATTTTTGGAGGGGAGAAATAGGCTACTTTTTGACAAAAAGAAGTTTTTCTTTAAAAAATTTCAACCATCTCTACACATGGAGTTGGAGGATGTGAAGGAATCCTTGGAAAAGAGTTGGTTTCTCCTTTAGTCCCAGTCTTGCCAAGCCCAAGTCATCAAAAATCACGAATCAGGACCCCGAAAGCATGAGATTGGCTTAAAAATGGTGAGATTTTAAACAACAACACACGTTTCATCCTGTTCACTTACTGCCTGGTTTTGCAATTTTAGGTGTCAATTTTCTGGCTTTTCCACACAACCCCCATTTAAAAAAAAAAAAGAAAGCTGAGTTTCTCAGGAAATCACTTGACTCAGTGAGCTTTGAGCGTAACACAAAATATGGCGATGAAATGGAGAAAGTTGGCGACACTGGGATCCAGCTAAGATGCTCTCAAGTTGAATCCTGTTCTGAAGGTCGAAGCCTTTTGGCAAATTCCGATTTTGTTTTCTTTTCCTCCTCACTTTCTTGGTGGGCGGTTGGTTTTGGGCATTTTGACGTCGTGCGTGAATTCCCCGTTCATGGAGAAGACGGTGATCGTAATCTCCCCTTTCCCAGACTTGAACATCATCCTGTCTCTGGTGGTGTCGAGCAACATCGGCTCATTCTCCCAAACACGCTTAGGTGCCTCCTACAATGCTTCCAGAGCATATTGAAAGCAGCCCCTCAGCTCCTGCGTTATCACCCCAAAGGACTCCAACTTGTTTCAAGCCCTCACTATGCTTGATACGCTCATAGGTGTGGGGCGGGTGCCAAGCCACCTGAGGTAAACCTCCCCCGTGGGCTCGTTGACAGTGTAGACCAGTTTCCTGTTGCTGTAGGACACGCTGATCTCACATTTGCCCTTCCCAGAGACAAACGGCAGATTTCTCCTGTTGCTCTGGATCACCAGCTTCGCGTTCTCCTGCACACACGGGGGCTTCTTCTGGAAGCCTCGGATGGCACAGTCAAAGCAGGTTTTCAGACCCTTGGGCATCTCCTCCCAGGAATCCAAGCTCCTCCCAGGTTTGCGAGGCTCAGAACCCTCAGGCCAGCTGATATCCTCCCTAGAAAGATATTCAACTTATGCGAGCTGACATTATAGCTGGGTTTCCCAGAGCCCTGTTTATACAAGAGGTTTCTCACATACCCCTCTGCCAGACACGAACACCAGCAATTCCCCATTCCAGTGGAGCGTCATCTTGGCGTTGTTCTTCACAGTCGGGCTCCTTGGCGAAATGCTCTTCTGCACACTGGAAGATATCGTTCAGCGATTTGCTCATCGTGCTGATGGACTCCATTTCCCTCTTCCCCTCCTGCAGGCCACCGGTGCTCAGCTGATGGGTCTTGACCAACTGAGAACCCATGTTGGCCCCATCTTAATTGACTCGGACTCCAGCTCTCTAAACAAGGGGATCCCGCCTTGCTGCAGCTGGGCCTGAAAACAAAAAACAAAATCAACCCATCATGGAACAATTTAATTACAGCTGAGTGATGTTGCGGGACTTGCAAAGCGACTTCTGAGAGAATGGGTTGAATTTGAACTCCTGCTGCTTCAGAGTTTACTGAAGAACCCAGCATTGCAGGAGACAGACAGATTATATGCTCTGGGGAGGTAAATCATCTCTGCTCAAGAGAGCTCAGAAATGGAGCAATAGGGTGGGGATGTTAATATGAATGGAGTTGGCACTGGCAGAACTGGGAGGGGAACCTAGAGCTGGGATAACAGGAGGGCTGCAGTTTGGGATTGAGGGGCACCAGCAGAGATATGGGTTGGAAGTCGAGGGCTCAAATAGCATGGGGGGCGGGAGGGGCTACAGACTAAGATCTTTAACCATATGTAATTGCATCTTAAAAAAAAGAATAGAAATTATCATTCTTTTGTCCTTAAGGAGGCTGAGTCTCCCCTTCCCTCACATCTTACATTGTCGTTATTCCGGTGTAAATATGAGTTATCACCAGATTAGAATTCTCCACTTGCTTTTGAGAGCTGATACCTAATTTGCACAGGCTTTGTGTGAATGTCAATAACACAAGGCAGTAGGAAACAAAGTACCTGAAGTTGGAGGACACCAGCTGGGGCAAAGGCATACATGCTCATGATGAATGCCCCGCGGGAATATGTGGCCTACCTCTCTCCATTCTGAGAACTGACCATGCATTCCTACCCTTTGTTTCCTGTCTTTGAACGAGTTACTGACCCAGGAGAGGACCTTCCCTCTTATCCCATGACCACTTATATGACACAAGAACCCATCAGTTAAGCTGAATGGGGGTTGTTCACTGCCTGGGGATTGCAAACTCAGCGTGGACATTCTCTTTGCTGCTTCAGCAACCGAGGGAAGGGGAAGTGAACCCAAGCAGTGAGGCTGTTGGGTGCTGGGTCTTTTGCAAGCTCTGGAGTGCAACGCATGTTTATTTCAGACCAAAGCAGGGAAAACCGAATTCATGGAGGTAAGGAGAGTCACACACATGCCAGCTACGGGTGGAAAATCGGCTCACGCCCCATTCGCTCTCCAGGTACAAGGGAATCCAGCGCTGTGTAATACCATGGGTGCATGTTTCTTAGGTGTTGATCCTGGATCTTTAAACCTTTGCCATCAACTTCCGGGTCAGGACAACAGAGGCAAAGCCTGCAGATGTATCTCTACTGCTACAATGAGCAATACCTCACCCACACACACTACAGCACACCTTTCGAGATCCAAGGGTCCCACGCCTGTCTACCACAAAACTTGCCCAGGGCCAGGGCCGGGGCAACCACTACGCGAACTAGGCGGTTGCCTAGGGCACCAAGTGGTTGGGGGCGGCCAAAAGCGCGCTCCGGGGAGGCAGTGGAGCGGAGGTGAGCTGGGGCAGGGGGGCGCGGGGAGGGCCGCGTGCAGCAAGTAACGGGGGGGTGGAGGGGGAGTAGCGCCGCACAGGGGAACTGTTCCCCGCCACAGCTCACCTCTGCTCCGCCTCCTCCCCTGAGCACCGCCCCACGCTGCCGCTCTCCCTCCCAGGCTAGTGGCTCCAAACAGCTGATTGGCGCCGCAAGCCTGGGAGGCGGGAGAAGTAGAGCGGCGGCGGCGTGCTCGGGGAGTAGGCGGAGCAGAGGTGAGCTCAGGCTGGGAGCTGCCGCACGGCTTCCCGGGCCGAGGGGAGGGAGGGGGCGGCGGGGAGTTGCCGCATGGCTTCCCGGGTGGAGGGAGAGGAGTGGGGGGCCAGCGGCGGGGAGCTGCTGCAGGGGGGGCACCTCAGGGAGGGAGGGAGGGGAGCTGCCGCAGGGCTCGGGGGTGGGGGCGGGTGCAAGGTGGAAGTTTTCTCGAGGGCGCGAAACATCCTTGCACCGGCCCTGCCCAGGGCGCGAAATGCCCCAACCCCCAGACAATCACCGCGCTGTCGAATGAACGCACAGAGGACAAAAATGCTAAAACACCGGCACACCAGTGGGTGAACGCTCTTCACAAAGCGATCGACCCATCTCTGATCCCTTCGTCACCACCAGAGGCATGGGCGGTGTTTGAAAACTCCCCGCCTTTCAAGGAGGCTAGTCTCTCCAGCCCTGCTCCTCCCACCCAAGCCACCTCTCACCTGCCAGAGCCCAGAGGCCCCACCCTCATGGCCGGAGGAGTCCTGGCCAACCCGCCCCGGGCCACCAGATGGTCCCAACCCTGGGACCAGCCTGAGCCACCCACTGTCCCGAGCCACCTTGGACCATCCTTAACCCTGCCTCGGCCCGTGATCCCCACCGCCCGTGATCAAAGGAAACACCCTGCACAACAGGGGGGCTCAGCCAGCTTTGCAATAAGTCCAGACTCTCCGGTTACCATCTTCAGCCCTGCAGCAGAGCTCTGTGTGGCTCGAAATTGCTTGTCTCTCTCACCCACAGAAGTTGGTCCAATAAAAGATATCCCCTCCCCCACCTTGTCTCTTTCAAGAGAAGACGAGTTAACTTCAGCTCCCTGCTGTAGAAGATGGTTCTTTACTTCAGGCTCTCAGGGTACATTAGCCTCGCCCTGGGGGCTATCGATTGCATCCCTGGCATCGACCAAGACAGCACTTGTTATCTTTGAGGATTTGACTCCCTGATTTGAGCCTTAGTCCACTGATATTTTAAAGAGGGAATCATCTACTACCATAGTTTTTGCAAGATGTATGTGCCCCTCACTCCCACCTCGCAGCCCCTGCTAGCCCAGCCCAGCCCCCCAGCTCTGCCACTGCCCCTCACTCCCAACCCACAGCCCCCTGCTAGCCCAGCCCTGCCCCCCAGCTCTGCCACTGCCCCTCACTCCCAACCCACAGCCCCCCTGCTAGCCCAGCCCTGCCCCCCAGCTCTGCCACTGCCCCTCACTCCCAACCCGCAGCCCCCTGCTAGCCCAGCCCTGCCCCCCAGCTCTGCCAGTGGGGGGGAGTGGGGGAGTGTGTGTATGTGGTGGGGGGCGGGTTATCCTCAGTTCCAGGGAAAGAAAGCAAACTGAAACTAATGACAGGTTTCAGAGTAGCAGCCGTGTTAGTCTGTATCCGTAAAATGAGAAGGAGTACTTGAGGCACCTTAGAGACTAACAATTTTATTAGAGCATAAGCTTTCGTAAGCTTTTGCTCTAATAAATTCGTTAGTCTCTAAGGTGCCACAAGTACTCCTTTTCTTGAAACTAATTAATAGGAGACGGGGAGGGGGGAATTTTCATTCATGCTGCAGCCCAGTAGAGCCAGGGCCCGGTTTTGCTGAGAGACCAGGAGAGACTGGAAGTGCTGGGGTATGAATATCACTGACCTGCACCCCACTGCCCGCTCCCTGGTGCCCCCCACTCCCAACCCGCAGCCCCAGCAGCGGGGCTGTGTGTGTATGGGGGAGCCCAGGGATGGGCTAGCAGGGGGTTGTGGGTGGGAGCGAGATGCACCGACAGAGCTGTGGGGAGCCCAGGGCTGGGCTAGCAGGGGGCTGTGGGTCGGGAGTGAGGGGCACCCAAACTGATC